AAAATGATTTTAAAGCCAAATATTACAATTTTATTTGTATTTCTATTTTTTTTTTATGTTTTATTTATTTTTAACATTCCTTTTTTAGCATTATTTTTACCTTAGTCTAATCCAGGGCTGTCCAAACTCGGTCCTGGAGGGCCGGTGTCCTGCAGAGTTTAGCTCCAACTTGCCTCAACACACCTGACTAGAAGTTTCTATAGCTGCGTCCGAAATCGCATACTTCCATACTATATAGTAGGCGAAAAACAGTATGCGAGGCGAGTAGTATGTCCGAATTCATAGTATTCGAAAAACAGTAGGCGAGAAGTACCCGGATGACCTACTACTTCCGCCCGAATTCCGTAGCATGCATACGATGGACACTTTACTATCCATGAGGCCACGGGAGAGGATTTGTGAATGAATGACAGTAGTTTATCAGTAATCCTAAAAAATCTGTGATCTGCGAGCAGCTGACCGACGCCTCCTCTGAGCTGTTGATCCAATCAACGTTAAAACGCCGATGAAAGCGGTAAGAATTACGTGAAACATTGCTGATGTTCGCGCTGTAGTGAGGGCTCTTTAAATTTTGGCGCTGTTGTGAAGACGCATGTCACGTGACAACATCAACATGGCGGATGTAGTACGTCCGAATTCCATTCATACTACTCATTCATACTATATAGAACGTACTTATTTAACGGTCGAGTAGTACATTCAAATTCAAAATGTAGTACCTACTAAGCAGTATGCGATTTCGGACGCACCCTATGCCTAGTAAGAGCTTGATTAGCTGGTTCAGGTGTGTTTAATTAGGGTTGGAGCTAAACTCTGCAGGGACACCTGCCCTCCAGGACCGAGTTTGCACAGCCCTGGTCTAATCATTTAAAGTGAACACGAAATTAAGTTGTAATTGTATTTACTTTCTAAATGTGCATTCCTTATCTTATCACACACAATCCATTCACCTGATTTTAGTAAAAAAAAAAGATGGTCTTATATTCTTTTATCAAAATCAATAATTTGCTTAGCACCTTTTCGACTTCATTCTAATATGTGTGTTCACTTTTCCAAATCCAGTCAATTTGTGTTGAATAAAATCAAGTCTCACCAAAGATTTTTTTGCTCATGAATGAATTGCAGACAGCCTTTCATTCAGCCTTTAAGGACACCACAACCATATGGAAAATACACACAAAAAAAGTCCTTTTAAACATTTGCTTGAGAGTCATATAAAAAATATTAGTCTGCACACAATGTAGGTAGGATAAGCCCCGTGGTGCTGCCGAATCACGAAGTCTTTCGAGTGCATCATCCCGTACTATTTTCAGACACCCCATATCAGGTTACCCACTGAGCCAACAGGTCAGCCGAGGTTATTACAGCATCCTACGACACCTGCCATCTCTCAACCTCAAACTTTACCGTTCCACTCAAACCCGGAGAACATCAGGGCCAAAGCCCAGGCAGATTCTGTCTCACTGTCCGCAGGCATCCTGGCCTGTTCATTCATCCGTGCTGAAGAGCAGAGGTGAAGGAAGACCTCAGGGGCTTCACATTGGAATGCACAGCATCACCGATTACTCATTGGAGAGAGGGAGGAGAAGGAACGGAGAACGTGGTGGAGAATGTGTAAGAGCGGAGAAGGGAGGGTGAGACGGCCGAAAAAGCAGGAATGTTGCATTAGGAATTCCAAACAGCCCCTTAATCCAAGTGCCGACTGAAACACTGCTTAAAGCATTTGCTGAAGCTTTTATCCCACCATAGTGCAAGAGCAGCCTACAAAGCAGAGGTCGAGAGGTCAAGAGCGTGAGCGGGGATTTCTAAGAGCTCGCTTCTGACTGTCTGTGCACACTTGTGTGTGATTCATATTATGACGTTAAATGTCTGTAATGCTTTTTTACACTGCAAACGAAGCAGGTTAGATTAATGTATTGGTTCTATAAATCAAACTGGCATTCAGAATTGCGGGATATAAACTCAGAATTGCGGGATATAAATTCAGAATTGCTGGATATAAATTCAGAATTCTGAGATATAAATTCATTATTGCGGGTAATAATTTCAGCATTGCGGGATAGAAACTAACAATTGCAGGATATAAATTCAGAATTGCGGGATAAAAATTCTGAATTGCAGGATATAAACTCAGAATTGCGGGATATAAATTCAGAATTGTGAGATATAAATTAATTATTGCAGGATATAAATTCAGAATTGCGGGATAAAAATTCAGAATTGCGGGATATAAACTCAGAATTGCGGGATTTAAACTCAGCATTGCGGGATAAAAATTAAGAATTGCGAGATATAAACTTAGAATTGCGGGATATAAACTTAGAATTGCGGGATATAAGTTCAGAATTGCAGGATATAAATTCATAATTGCGGGAAATAAATTCATAATTGCAGGATATAAACTCATAATTGCGGGATATAAACTCATAATTGCGGGATATCAATTCAGAATTGCGGGATAAAAATTCAGAATTGCAGGATATAAATTCAGAATTGCGGGATATAAATTCTGAATTGAGAGATATAAATTCAGAATTGTGGGATATAAATTCAGAATTGTGAGATATAAATTCATTATTGCGGGAAATAAATTAAGAATTGCAGGATCGAAATTAAGAATTGCGGGATAAAAATTCAGAATTGCGGGATATAAATTCAGAATTGCAGGATATAAACTCAGAATTGCGGGATAAAAATTCTGAATTGCGGGATATAAATTCAGAATTGCGGGAAATAAATTCAGCATTGCGGTATAGAAACTAATAATTGCGGGATAGAAATTCAGAATTGCGGGATAAAAATTCAGAATTGCGGGATATAAATTCACATAATTGCGGGATATAAACTCATAATTGCGGGATATCAATTCAGAATTGCGGGATAAAAATTCAGAATTGCAGGATATAAATTCAGAATTGCGGGACATAAATTCTGAATTGAGAGATATAAATTCAGAATTGTGGGATATAAATTCAGAATTGTGAGATATAAATTCATTATTGCGGGAAATAAATTAAGAATTGCAGGATCGAAATTAAGAATTGCGGGATAAAAATTCAGAATTGCGGGATATAAATTCAGAATTGCGGGAAATAAATTCAGCATTGCGGTATAGAAACTAATAATTGCGGGATAGAAATTCAGAATTGCGGGATAAAAATTCAGAATTGTAAGATATAAACTCAGAATTGCGGGATATAAATTCAGAATTGCAGGATATAAACTCAGAATTGCGGGATAAAAATTCTGAATTGCGGGATATAAATTCAGAATTGCGGTATAGAAACTAATAATTGCGGGATAGAAATTCAGAATTGCGGGATAAAAATTCAGAATTGTAAGATATAAACTCAGAATTGCGGGATATAAATTCAGAATTGCAGGATATAAATTCAGAATTGAGGGATAAAAATTCTGAATTGCGGGATATAAATTCAGAATTGCGGGAAATAAATTCAGCATTGCGGTATAGAAACTAATAATTGCGGGATAGAAATTCAGAATTGCGGGATAAAAATTCAGAATTGTAAGATATCAACTCAGAATTGCAGGATATAAACTCAGAATTGCGGGATAAAAATTCAGAATTGTGGGATATAAATTCAGAATTTGCGGTATTGCGGGAAACTTGCAATTCTGAGAAGAAATGTCAGAATTGTGATATAAAAAGTTGCAATTACCTTTTTTTATTCTTTGTTGGAAACGAAACAAAAAAAAACAGAAATGTAAGAAGTAAAGTCAGAATTTAGAGTTTATATCTTGCAGTTCTGCATTTATATCTTGCAGTTCTTAGTTTATATCTCGAAATCCTGACTTGCAGTTCAGTTGCGAGAAACAAAGTCTGAATTTGTGAGATATTAACTCTGAAAAGGCACAATTACCTTTTTTATTTTGTGGTAAAAACAAATTACATTTTAGACATTTATAATGTTATGATTTCCTGAAAAATATGTATCACAGTTTCCACAAAAATGTGAAACAGCACAACTGTTTTCAACACTGATAATAACATGAAATGTTTCACGAGCATCAAATCAGCATATTAAAATGATTTTATATTATTTTATATTATATTTATATTAAGTCAAACTGGTATTTGGTATGACAAACCATTGTCTAAACACCTTGGTTGCAATTAAAATGAAGTATATTGCAGTACATATAAATCGACATGCAGCAGATGCTGCTACGTATAGAGTTGCATTGAACCCAGACTATTCATTTATAGTCAACATAAAATCCAAATTGACTGTATTTACTTTCAGTATGTGCTTTCCTGATCTTATCGTGCACAATCCATTCATGCACAATGTTTTAGCTAAAAAATATTTTTTTTTAATCAAATATCAATTCATTGCATCGAGGGATGCAGTATTCTGCTCAGTATACTCTATTGTATTACTAAAACATTTAAATTAATATAGATAGACAGTGTTGCTATGGCATCCTAGTTGGTTGCTCGGATGTTGTAGCTGGTTAATAGACATTGCTAGGGTACTCTAGATGGTTGCTTTGGTATTTTGACTAGTTGCTGAGTGTTGGCTGGTTAATAGGGTTTGCTATGACTTCTAGCTGGTTACTATGCAATTCTAGAATATTTTGGTTATTTGCCAGGTGTTGCTATGGGGTTCTAGTTTGTTATTTTGTTATGTTTACTAGTTGTGGTAGTTATAGTTGAAATTCTTTGTTCAGACAACTGTGTTTGACTTGTTGGGACGACATTTGGGGGAATTCTGTTGCACTAACATGGGGTTTTATGTAGTTTTGTAGTAATATTTGTGACTCAAAAGGTCCTGTAAACTGGAAAGTATGTAGTTGCTTTTTTCCACAGTGAATGTATGAGTGTTTTCAGGCTGTTGGCATGCTTGATTCACAATCTGCGCCAGATGTGATGAGCATTAACTTGCAAATAGGATGTGCACCGCCTGTTTTCCTGCGCCAGGATGTTTTCTGACCTTGGTTCTTAATATGTGCTTCCTTGTTTTCCTTTTTCTCAACAGGTACAGCTATAAAGAAATGCTGCATAACTCCACTTTTTGTCTCGTGCCTCGAGGACGCCGCCTGGGCTCTTTCCGTTTCTTGGAGGCTCTACAGGTACATTTTTCCAGTTCGTTCCCATTGGCAGTACTGCTAGCCAACGGAAGACACTTTAGCAGTTGCATGCAGGCTCTGTGTTTCCAGCCCATATACATACCCCCCCACACACACACTTTATCATCATTGTAGTATAGCTGGGCAATATACCTTGAAAAAATATCTTTGCCGATGCTACCGTTCAAAAGTTTTTTTTTTTTTAATTCATACTTGATCTATTCATTAAGGAATCCTAGAAAATTAAATAAAAACTAAAATAATTACAGTAGTAAAACAAGTTAAAATAACTGTTTCATATAAGAAGCAAATTGAGATCTCATTTGTGGTATTTCATTCCTAAATAAATAATCCACCTTTATCCATAACCGGCACTATTCTGTGGTACTGTGATGCCGATGTAATGTCAGACAGGCGTCTATTGTGTGGGAGTGCGGCTGTGCTCTTTCAGGTTGTCTGATGTTGTGCAGACATGAGGCTTAACAGGCCATTATATATTGTGTTTTGACTTGTGTGGGTGTTGAGAATTGACTTGCTGAGGTTTGCGGGGCTTTTATGCTGCATATGTGCGCTTGTGTCTGTCTTCAGCTCTCTGGGGCTGTATTGGTCTGTATGTATTTCAGCAGATTGAAGCGCTGGTTAATGACACTGCAAGGATTAGTCCATAACAGCAGGATGATATTAGAGATGAGGGGAGGTCAGAGGGTGGGAGCAGCTTAACAGATTAGGGACAGGACAACAAGCCTGTCCAAACACACACACACACAGTTATGCTTGGAAAATATTGAATTTTATCTACAATAAAGTTCTGTTGAGGTACTGTGATGCAGTGATGACTGATAATGCTTTTAATTCAAACCATGATACTGAATTATTACCGCTTTTGTATACTATAGTACATGTCCAAAAAAAACATTGAAATACTGTAGTACCATGTTCAAAAAACCTTGGTATATGGTAGCATGCCCACACTTGCAACAAAAGCATATTATAGCTAAAAAATGTATTACAAATGTTTGGACCTGGTAACAGTGTTATTTTAGTATATTATTCATATTATATAATAGTTTTTATGAATATTTTTAATTAGCTTTTATTTTCATATTTTTAGTTTTCATTTTAAATTTATGTTTAGTAATTTTATGATTTTTTTTTTTGTTTCATATGTTTTTTATTATTATTATTTAATATTATTACCATGATGCATGTTCAAAAAGAATGGAAATACTGTAATACTTACAAAAAAAATTTAATATTACTATGTCCACACTTGGGGGGGGAAAAAAATTGTCATCTTCGTAGTAGTGTTATTTTAGTATTTTTATTTTATAGTTTTTAATAGCTTTCATTTTTACTATTTATTTTTTTATATTTTGGATTTGTTTTATTTTTATTTCACTTTTTTGTTTTATATTTTAATTCAGTTATTTTATATCAGTTAGTAATTTTAATTAATTAATTGCCAAGGCAACACGTCTAATAATTTTTGTTTAGTTTAAGTTTTTCGTCTAGTATTATATTAAATTTTTTATATAAAAAAAAAATATTTTATTTTAGCTTTTATTTCAATTACCAATTTAAAAAAAAAAAGTTTTAGTTTTATTAAACAATAACAACACTACTTGGTATCAAGCTACTATAATGCTTTATGAACAAACAAATTATAAAAATAAAAAAAAGTCACTGTACTAAGGTGATAAAGTTATTTGGAGTTTTTGGGATTGTTTTCACTGTAACTCCATCCTGAATAATGAAAGCAGCTCTGCACTAATGACCAATAATGGCAGCTGACATGGGCGTCGCTAGGCCATTTTTAGGGGGGCTATAGCTTAGTAGATTAGTTCCATAGATTAATTCCATAAACTACACGAATTTGTGATCGTCTCAGTGCCCTTTAAATTTCATATGAAAACGGCGGCAGACTTCGATCGGCTCCTTCCCGTCTTTCAGCGCGTTCTTTTTCAATCCGCAGAGCGAGAAACAGAGGACAAGGTGTGTGTTTATTGATAGATTGTTATAATATCTGCATCTGTGCAGTTCTTTGTCATAAAGACAGTTTACAAAATATCTACTGTAGCCTTTCTACTGTAAGTTTTCCCTGCATTCACCCCTCATCACACCACAGCTGTTTCCTCCAGTGAAAATGAAGCACATATGAACGCATATACTTTATAAAACGATGTTGCCATCTGATATGCAAATTGGAGACCAGGTAGTCATTAAATATTATAAACAATGCACCATCTGTCTGTTGGTACCTCCTGCTACAGAGCTGCTTCGGAAACAAGAGACAACAGCTCATTTGTAGCTGAATAGTGAACATGTTTGACAGTGTACATACACAGAAGAGCTGCTTGGATGTGCTTGATTTCATTTGAAATATATGTCCATATTGCACATTGCTCTATATTGCCAAATTTGTGTGCATATAGGCCTATATATATATATATAAACAATTTAAGATTTTTTCCCCCTGTAGGTTTTTGCGTTGGTCTCCTTCTCCATTCTTGATGATTATCTCACACCCTCTTTTTCATTGTTATGACTGAGTTCAGACAGGCAGAGCCACGCTTTGTGTTTCCCTCAGTCGCTGCCAGATTTCCCAGAGCTCAAGATGGAACAGAAACATGACTGATCTGATAAACCATGATTCCTCATTTCTCAGTCTGAAGTCAGAGCTCCTCCTGCTTTCAGACTTTCCACTCGAAGATGCTAATAAAATTTTCATGACGCTTGTTTTATTTTTCTTCAGCCTGTTCTAACGTGTCTCTGTGTGTGTGTGTGTGTGTGTGTGTGTGTGTGTGTGTGTGTGCAGGCTGCATGTGTTCCCGTCATGCTCAGTAACGGCTGGGAGCTTCCCTTCTCAGAGATCATCGACTGGCGCACGGCCTCCATCATTGGGGATGAGAGACTTCTTCTACAGGTACGACTTCCAGAATATATCAGGATAGGAGCTAGTTCAGCTTATGTGATGCATTCTGTTTCTTGTTCCTGTCTGAAACAACGGCTCTGTTCCCAAATTCAGTGAGCTGCCTGCTGTATGGGCAGCATCTTAACTGAAATACATTCTACTTGTATTTGTTCTGCCTGTTCTGCTTATCTGTGTGAATGAATGACACAGATGTGTTTTCAGCGTCTGCTGTCAAACTGTATGAGGACAAGAACACATGAACTTCATCTCCAGAACTGGTTTGAGATTTCACTTCATGCGCATTTTACCGTTTCATTTTAGAAATACTATCGTCATATATCACAACAACCCACCAGAATAAAAGTTTGGTTTAATATATATAAATATGTTCTAAATAAATATATTACTCTCTCTGTCTTCTGTCTTCTCTCTCTCTCTCTCTCTCTCTTTCTATATATATATATATATATATATATATATATATATATGTTACTCTATTAATAATAATATTAAAACTATTTTTAAGAAATAATTACTCTTTTTCTTTTCATTTATTCTTCTGCCAGTTGTAACAGTAAACCCCTGTTGAGTAGCACTTAGTCAAAAAAATGAAAGAGTTTAATTTTCATTTGATTAAGAGATTAATTAAATTGTTAATGTTTTATGCCTTCATTTGATTACCAGAAAATTACATAACAGAATTTCTGAAAACATTTCATAGGGCCTTATTATTATAAAAAAATAATAAATAAATACATACATACACAAATAAATAATTTAGTAATTAAAGTTTTTATGAATTCAGTTTATTAGACATGCTTTTTGTTGGCTAAAATTTAATTAAACCATTACAATGCAGAAAAAAATAAAAAGGAAATCACACTATTTGGTCAAAAAAAATGGAATTTGAGAAGAAAAAAAAAATTTATTAAATAGGGCCCTAAAAATTTCAACTTTTAATAAAATTATGTAAAATTGTACAAGTTTCATTAAGTTTCTCAATTAATTAGAAATGCTTTTTGGTCTAAAATTTAATGTAACTATTGAAATGTAGTCTAGAAAGACTGAAATGGAAAAAACAGAATTAGAAAAAAATATTTCTAAAATAGATTTCATAGGGCTATAGCAGTATAATCATGCGTGCTTATAATAATGCCTACATAGTCAAATCAAAAGATTTTGGAACTGAGACATGTTTATATGTTGAAATTTGTTTAAACCACATGCTTTCTCAAGCCTTTCCTATTAATTAATCATGCATGAATTAAATCGTTCTAATGTCACATGCTAATTTGCTGGGCACAAGCTTGCATCTATCAGTGACGGTCTGCAGACCTTTGGAGACTTCCACAGTGAAAGCAAGTTCATGTGCCTTTGTAATTGAAATGGGACCTCTTGTCCTGCCGATTAGCGGCCTGCGGCAGAAAGGCAGTCTGTGGTGAGAGGAGTGACAGCTTCTGTCAGGCCGCAGTAGCACAGTTCTGCATTTAATATGCTCTCGCGGCCTGTGAGATATTTGAAATGGAAATCCACCTCAAGGGCCGTTTGTGTTCACAGTGATGAGAGACTTTAATAATCGCTCACACCTGCTGTGACTTATTTCTCTGATTACAGAACCGGCTTTACTGACGAGATGCGCATTAAATATCGTGCGATATTTATCGTGCAGCCCTACTATCTAATTGTTCTATCGTTCTCTGTCTGTCTGTCTGTCTGTCTGTCTGTCTGTCTGTCTATCTATCTATCTATAATATGAATCTATCTATCTATCTATCTATCGTTCTATCTGTCGTTCTATCGTTCTATCTGTCGTTCTATCTATCAATCTATCTATAATATGAATATGTCTATCTATCTATCTATCTATCTATAATTTTATCTGTCATTCTGTCATTCTATCTATCTGTCTGACTGCCTATCAATGACTCATAACACCTTTGCTGTAGCCCAGTGATCACTTAGAACACCTTAGCAACTACCTTAGTAACCACATAGCAAGTAGATAGATGTTTACACCCTGTAAACTACCTAGCAATCACCTAAGCAAAAGTCTGAAATGAGGGTGAATAAGAAGGCTTTTCATTTTGAGGTGAACTGTTAAACTTACTCTTGAAAAATTCCTTTACTGACTGAAAAAGCCCAGTTTGTCAGGGTGCTTTCACACTAGCACTTTTGGTGCACACCCGGGTTCGATTGATGTCAGAGTTCGGTACGTTTGGATGATGTGAACGCTGTCTTCTGAACTCGGGTGTGCACCGGCGAACCGTACCAGAGTCCGCTTAAAAAGGGTGGTCTGGGGTACGGTTCAAGTGAACTCCGGTATGGTTTGCTGCTGATATGAACACAATCGTACCAAATCGTGGAAGTGAACCGCTATTAATGACGTATTGGTTCTGCATTTAATATGCTCTCGCGGCCTGTGAGATATTTGAAATGGAAATCCACCTCAAGGGCCGTTTGTGTTCACAGTGATGAGAGACTTTAATAATCGCTCACACCTGCTGTGACTTATTTCTCCTCTCAGGAAATACTGGAACAGAAGCACTGAAAGACCTTATGCTATATTCCAGTGTGTTTAATGCACTCGTTGTTTTGCTATGATCTATCTATCTATCTATCTATCTATCTATCTATCTATCTATCTATCTATTGTTCTTGCGCTGCGAGCAGGGAGCTCTGTATCTCATTTCTGTTAGCTTCAATCAATCGAACTCTGGTTCGGACCAGGTAATCGAACCAAGTGTGAAAGCCCCCTCAGAGCGCAGTGAGAAATTTGAGTTATTTTAACTGGTGTCTCCGATTGGAAAGGTCTGTCAAGTAGAAAACACATTATCACACTGCTCCCATCTCCTCAGATTCCATCGACGGTTCGCTCCATCCATCAAGACCGCATTCTGTCTCTCCGCCAGCAGACGCAGTTCTTGTGGGAAGCGTATTTCTCTTCTGTGGAGAAAATTGTGCTCACTACATTGGAGGTAAGCAACTTCCTGATCAATTAAAACAAGACATGCAGCAATCAAGACCTAATGACTAGTTGTATAAATCCTGCCAAAACTTGTCCGGGACGCATTTCACCCTAAAAATGAACAGGGAAAAATGGGAAAATATATTTAGCAGAAAATGAAGCTCACTTTAGAACCATTAAGATATTTGCATGGTCATTTTCATGATTATTAAGCACATTTTCACAGCACAGTTCTCATTACTGCATTAATGCATCCACAATCGGATGTAGTTATGAGTTTGTAATTATCAATATTTTTACTGATTGAATGGTAAAAATGTAATGAGTATCAATGATTTGCATTCTATCATTCTGTCGTTCTATCTGTAGTTCTATCTATCTATCTATCTATCTATCTATCTATCGTTCTCTATCTATCTATCTATCTATCTATTGTTCTATCGTTCTATCATTCTGTCGTTCTATCTATAGTTCTATCTATCTATCTACCGTTCTATCTCGTTCTATCCTATCTATCTATCTATCTATCTATCTATCTATCGTTCTATCATTCTATCTATAGTTCTATCTATCTATCTACCATTCTATCTCGTTCTATCTGTCGTTCTATCTGTCGTTCTATCTATCTATCTATCTATCTATGTATCTATCTTGTGGGAAGCGTATTTCTCTTCTGTGGAGAAAATTGTGCTCACTACATTGGAGGTAAGCAACTTCCTGATCAATTAAAACAAGACATGCAGCAATCAAGACCTAATGACTAGTTGTATAAATCCTGCCAAAACTTGTCCGGGACGCATTTCACCCTAAAAATGAACAGGGAAAAATGGGAAAATATATTTAGCAGAAAATGAAGCTCACTTTAGAACCATTAAGATATTTGCATGGTCATTTTCATGATTATTAAGCACATTTTCACAGCACAGTTCTCATTACTGCATTAATGCATCCACAATCGGATGTAGTTATGAGTTTGTAATTATCAATATTTTTACTGATTGAATGGTAAAAATGTAATGAGTATCAATGATTTATTGAGTAAAATTAGCATAAATACTTATTATATATAAATATTTTACTATTTAAATAACTCAGAATTACTATAATGTAAATTAAATCTAGCATAAATGGTCCTAAAACATGCTTCATTTTCTTTAAAATGAGAACGTGTAATTTCTGGTTTTGCACAAACTCTTTTACCCTTCCACTTGACTGAAAGGCATGTGATCAGTCATGTCGGGAGCTATTCCTGAATGAAAACGGAACTACATCAGGCCGGTCTCAGGCTCTGGTTTCACACACTTCTCCCTGGAGGAAGCGTTGCAGCTCTGAGATGTGCTGGATTGCTGTTGGTGTGTAAAAGGACACCCGTGTCAGCTCTTGAAGGGTGGATCTGTGAGACCGAGCATTAATACGCGTCCGAATAAACATGGCTATAGTCATCATTCTATCGTTCTCTATCTATCTATCTATCTATCTATCTATCGTTCTATCTATAGTTCTATCTATAGTTCTATCTATCTACCGTTCTATCTCGTTCTATCTGTCGTTCTATCTGTCGTTCTATCTATCTATCTATCTATCTATGTATCTATCGAGCTATTCCTGAATGAAAACGGAACTACATCAGGCCGGTCTCAGGCTCTGGTTTCACACACTTCTCCCTGGAGGAAGCGTTGCAGCTCTGAGATGTGCTGGATTGCTGTTGGTGTGTAAAAGGACACCCGTGTCAGCTCTTGAAGGGTGGATCTGTGAGACCGAGCATTAATACGCGTCCGAATAAACATGGCTATAGTCCAGCTGGCATCATGTTTATGAAAGTTAAACGCTTGTGAGATTTGAGCCATGTTAATGTTATCGTTAAAGTGAGTCTGATGGATCTAATGAACATCAGTGGTGAGAAATGATTCAGAGATCATTCAAAACTCTTCCTTTTGCAGATCATCCAGGACCGTGTGTTGCAACATAACGCCCACAGCATTCTGATGTGGAATCGGTTGCCCGGAG